TGCAATTTTTATTTTTACTAATTTCATTATTGAGACAAAATCTTAAAAATAATAATATAGAAAAATTCAACTTTAAAAGAATTCCTTCAATGATATACCCTTCTCAAGAAACACTGCAACTTAAGAGGAAACAATTGACTGGCCTTCCTCCAAGACTTCGTTATAAAACAGTAACAAAAAAGCATGCTACTAACTTAATTGATTAAAGTTCTTTATGTTTACTGGTTCTTTTGAGTGAAAATGCTGCTATTAAAGCAGAGATAATGTCAATTTTTCGTTAATTGCATAGTTATAATCAGCTACTAGTTTTCTCGTTTGAATTGTTTAACATTTTTCATGTCCCAAGGGGGCATCTTTAATAGGTGACTATATGGTATGGGTTTCTCTCTCATTGTTGAAGGCTTTACGGTTACCTACAATTGCTTATATCCACATCATTTCAACTATGGTCATGGTATATGTCTCATTGGCAATCATACCACATCTCCTTATTTTTATAATCAATTTTTCTTAGATTAAAACTTTTAAAATGTTGATATATACTTTTTTGTTTTATTAGCATTCAAAAACTTTTTTATTTAACCCAAATGTCAGATATAGTAATGGAACAGTTAGTTTGGTAATATGGCTTAAAAACAACTCATTGCGCATATAATTTTGGACCATTTATTCCCTGTGAAAAGCCTAACTCAATAAAAAAAAACAATTTTAAACATGATTTACTGTAACGGGTACTTACGAGCTTCAAGTTGATTAGACCTCTTGGAATTCAACAAAGAAAGTAAATTATTCTTGACTAAATACTTTAATTGGTTGCTTAGTTTTCTAAGTACTTTCAAATAAAAACTGTACTTTTATTTTAAAATTAATCAAGAGTCAATAAAACAACATGGTAATCCCTCTACCACCCAGGGACTAACGATTCCAGTATGGCATTTTAACTTGTACTTTTCAATCGTAAATTACATTGTCAAATTAAGACATAGGCACCTGTTGATCACAGGTAATTAGATATTGCACCTAAGATGTCAGAATTTCTATGTTTGTTGAGATTTCTATCTAAATGACCAATTACATGCAAGATTAAAAGGGGAGATAAGATAAGAGTTATCTCCCCTACCACAGAATATGCCCCTGTAATAAGCTGTTGGAAAAGAATGTGCCTAGCTGAAACAACTGATTCAAATAAGTACTCCCAGTCTGTAGATAATGGTAATTGATGCAAAGTATGCATAAAACAAGTTAACAGCGTGTTACAGCATCTGAAATTAAAATTTGTACTCTTACATAAGTTATACAAATCTCTTTTGTTCCATTCTGAATTTATCTATAAGTCAACTAAGGGATCTACTAACAGATCTTGCTGTGGCTTAAATTTTATTTCTTTTGTTTATATAACCTATGACTTCAAAAATGTGGTCAAGGTTCTGTATCATTCAAAGTAATCAGGCAATTTTGCACTTTTGTACAAGGAGCCTCAGTGGCTGAGTCCCGTCTATATTAGTATTAATGATCACTTAAGCTTGTCAAAACTGAGGTTGTGAATTGAACACTGCTCATGATGAGTGTGTTTGAATTTTATCTCAGTTGACTAGGATTGTTGGTTCCTCCCTAGCCAGTGGCGGATCCAGAAATTTTCATAAAGGGGGGGGGGGGGGGGGGGGGGGGCACTGACTGCCATAAGTGGGGGTCCACTAAGTCATGCTTCAGTGATTCCCTAAATAATCAACCAAATTTTTCCCACAAAAGGGGGCACCCAGGCCCCCCCTAAATTGGCCTCTGCTAGCATTTAAGTGGTTCTCTCTGAAAACTCTGGCTTTCTCCATAAGAAAAAACAGGCGTTAAACACCATCTAACAATCAATCAATCACATTTGTACATTTATGTCAACTTCTTATGGAGTTAAATTTCCTACACCAATTGGTAGTAAAAAAAATATACTGTACTAATAATATATTTAGATATATGCAAGTGCATGAGTGAACTAAACTAAGCTTCAACATAAATAAACTGTTACTGTCTCATTGACCTTTGCCTAACATCAAATTCTTAACAGTAAAAAGTCAATATTTTATATTATCTTTGAATTTATATACTGTATATTTTGAATTTTTTCATGCATGTTTAAAACAGATATTTTCGCTATATATGAACTACTTCGCATAGAAATCGACCTTATGCAAATGAATATCAATCATTAACATCTGATTACCTATTTCGGGTTGAAAAAGTCTGTTTGAAAATTGAGCTGTTATAAGAAAATCTACAAAACGGACCAAAACTCAACTTTTATTTTGTATTTAAATGTTCCAAAAAATCAATCAATAAGTCTTTAATACATGTACATGTATATGTGCACTTGCAAAGGTCGATTTCTTAGTCTCCGACACAGCTCATATATTAGCATTCAACTCTTCATAGCCAAACTAAGCCTAGCTAACATTTCAAATCTATAGCACATGATCATATAAGTTGTCATGAATTATAAACTTAGTAAACATTTCACAACTTCATTTTGGCCTGTAATCGCAAATAAAAGCAGACACAAAAATAACTCGCCATACTGTAACTTAACCGAATTCATTTTGTATAAATGAGATATCAAATAAATTTATGACAATCGTTTCACAACTTACCTTAAATTACGCTCTCCGAAAAGGTCATAAATATGTATTACATGAAAATAGTAATTTTCACTTCATAACAATTCTCGTTGGAGTATTTTACAACCGAATTATCAATGGCTACGTGAGGACAATAACAATACTTCGGTGTAATTGTGTCTGACGAGGGGTTGTAAACATCGAATAATACAATTAAATCATAATATTCGTTTTTTTTATCTTAATTTTCTACCTGGGTAGATTTAAAGGGGTAGAATTAGATTTGGTTTTAAATTTCGTAAGCTACCCTAAGGTTACATCTTATGAATTTAATGTGTGTGAGCTTTTTATTTATATAACATTAGTTTTTGTTTATGTTTAATTGAAATGTATATAATATTTACTCAAAATAACTTCAAGACAAATATGTGGTTTAGCAGGTAATAAATTATGACTTGCACCTTATCAGATTTCCGTTACAACTCACCGATTATTTGCACAAGTGATTTAATTTTTTTTTAAATTCAACATTTTTTTACAATATGAAATGCATAACGTTGTTATGGGCTTATTCAACACAAGAAAAACTAAACATGAATGTAATGAGATGTTGGGTAGATGTCCTTTTCTAATTTATGTAGAAACCTTCAGCTTTTACTGTGAAATTTGTCTAAACCAAACCCTAAAGAAGTCTAAAACCTGTGTACAGTGAACACATGTATAAGCACCTTTTAGGTAGCTTACTGTAACTCTGTAGCCTGTGTAAGTAAGAAACCTGTCAAATTGAATCTTATTCAATGATCCAGAAGCTTTTTAAGTTTTGGACAGTTTTCCCTGTAACTATAATGGGCAATAGTTCCATATGACACCCCCACCCCTTCTCTATAATGTATCAATTGTCTGTCGTTTGCAAACATTTTATGCATATTCAAGTTGAATGATGTATTGGACAGCAGTACTTATCCAATGAATAAATGGTCATGTGGGGATAATGACAATGATACAGCAATCCAACAAAACTCAAAAAACCAAAATGACATTGAAGTTTTACGTTTTCCCCTTTTTATAAATAAAGTTCAAAAATAAGTTTTTAATGAAAAAAATTCATTTTACACGCTTTTCTTATTAGTTTTGAATAACTTGAACCTAGCAAATTGTATACTTTTCAAATATATACTAAAGTGTTGACATTTTTCCAAACATTCAGATCATACTATTTCAGTTACAACAAAAGATTCTTTTTTAATTTTTTTTCATGTTAATTCTCAATCCAATCCACGTCAAAATATGGCCCAGATTTTATTTCTCTGTGTCAACCACTATTCTACAAGGTCAAGCCATAATACACCTTTGTTCCAGAGGTGTACAAATATCATAATCTAATGTAATCTTATACATTTTAAAAATCAAATATTGATAAATCTAAGTATACATACATACAAATGGAAATCATAAATATAAGATTTCAAATTGCAAATTATCTCCCTTATCTGAAGTTTTGACAGGACAAATTCATGTTTGATTCAAAGGCTGACTGACACTGGTGAATTTGTCTTAAGCCAATGACCAGAGGTCTGAATATTTTTAAAGAAATAGATATGAGATATAATTCATAACTTATATAGACTAAAAATAATTTTCCAGTTTTGCAAAAACTTTAAAAAATTTAAATTCTGAAAAAAATATTCAAACTAGCAAAAAAAATACAAAAAGAAAAAAAACATTTCACCTTTCTCATGATTTTTTCATTGTAATACAAGCTTCAAAAAAAACATATTAGTTTTTACTAATGAATCATAAAAAAAGTTCACAATAATATTTGCTCCAAAATGTCAATACAGTTCTTTGAAATGAAATATTAACTGTTAATTTTTGTAGGTTCCATATTTTCCTTTTTCAACAACTAAATTTTGTATCTAATCAAATTAAATACATATTTTCTTTTGGGTCCAAACTTATTAATCTTTCAGTAATGAATTTTAAAAAGCCACAAACCACAGAAACTGATACCGGTGACGAAAATAAGCCACATTATTCAGTCCTAGAATCCAATTTATAGTCAAGCAGAATTATAATTTATCAATTGAAAAAATCATTCTTAATAAACTCATGATAGATACCAGGCTTATTATTTTTTACGCCAGAGGTGCCGTTTTTTCGCAAGACATCTATTATAGACCAACTGTTAAAAACATGATTTTACACCCCCCCCCCCCCCCCCCCCACTTTTTTTCCACCGTCCATTCCAACACTCCAAACATGTCTAAATTGCAGAAGGCCAAAGCATACTCAGTTGGTGCATTACTCAAATAAAGATGTTAATTTCTGCACTCAAATACCTCAAAGATGTTAGTTCTGACCTCAAAGTTCAAACTATAAATAGCAAACAAGACTTACCATTTTCTGCTATATTGTTCTGCTTATTAAAAACCTCCGTGTATTTTTTCCGTGCATTTTCCGACATGATGTTGACAGGCAGACTATCCAGGTTTAAACTGAGTGGTCGATCCATATTATCAAATGATATATATATATGTGTATATTGATAAGGGTGAAAAATCACTGATTACAAGTTCTTGTCACTTGTACAATATTTACATTTTCAATTATTTAAATTGATAACAGCCGACAAATGCATGTACATGTAGTTATCACATGTATTTTATTTTTTTTCCTCGATAAATTGACGGGAATTATCTAATTTTGTAACACACTCCCACTTTTCTAGATGTATCAGCAGTATTTATTGTTTAGTTTATTTCGCACATAATATTTCCAATAATTTCCACAGCTTCCATTAGGACATGGATTTGTAGTTCCGTGCACAATGAATATCTACTTCTGTTTACAATTCTAATGCCAAATTTAAATTGCAAATCATGACCATATATAATTTACACTATTTTGTTATAAATTGGTTCAATAATATGTTATATAGTATACTAGTCCGTATACAATTCAGTGATTATTACGATACATGAGATCTGTCTAAATCCTTTGAGATCAATCAGTTTTACAATCTTCCTATAGTGAAGGATATATACTCTTATTGACAATATATGTCAGTGTTTGTACAGAAGATACAGCGAGACACGCAATCGAGCCTAAGGAGACTACGAAGCTATTGTTTCTTTTCTATGTGGGTTTAAACCACCCTAAATGTCGATGACGGAAAAATCAACTCTGCCAATCATTCATTATTTACTGTCAAATTATAATGCATATTAAAACCTCCACCTTATTTAAATATTATTACGTGTGCATTCAAGGTAAGAGAGTCCCATCTGTGACCCGTTTCCAAATGTCGAACAATAGAATGCAATTTCTATTCACAAATGAAAGTTTTCTGTGCAGTTAAAATGAGTTCAATCAAGCAAAATTAAGTTCATTTCCAAGTTAGATATTATCTTTGTATATTAAGACTTATCCAGTTGTATTTAAATAAAAATTCAGTCTTTTTTTTAAAAATTTGAATCAATCCATCCAATCAGCAGGTACAACACACCCGTCTATGTGGTCTCTTTTTTTCTTTTCTTTTTTTACGAAAATCCTCAATCACAAATCACATATGCATCCTATTAAGAAATATTCAAACTGTCGTTATCAAGTTTTTACAGAGAATAGAAAAAAAATACTGCTTCAATTAGTAAACAAAAACAATTTGAGCCAAATAACACTTTGACATTTATCAAAAGGTCTTTTTACAAATAATATTTTTCTTAGATATTAGTGATTTATCATTCAATGTCCAATGACCCTTTGACCCCTCGGGGCTTGAACAAGGTAGATAATTGAAGACTGATATAACACTATGTAATACATTTGTAGATGGCGTAATAGCGTAATTATATATATTGCTGTTACTGTGGTTGTCTTGTCAATTTCCTTGTTTGGATCAAAACATGGTCGTTAACATAAATTAAAGAATAATAATATAAATGTTGATATATGTCAAAGTGCTATTGAATCAATTTAAATTTAGCTAATTGGAAATTTACTTTTACATTTATAGCATTTTAAAAATTTGGTCTAAAATGAGCATAAAACTTTCGTTCTGCAATTAATCAACATCAGCATTGATTTTAATGGTTTAATAAACTTTTAAGGATACAATTGCATTTTACTGGCGCCTTAGATTATCAATTGAATATAAAAAAACTTATTCATTACAAAACAATAATTTATGATATACCAGATTTTGCCTTGAACAATTTTTTTGTCTACTTCATAATTTGTCACAAAAATATAACTGTAGGGTATTAATAACATGTGATGACCATATACAAATTATTACATATTTTAAGCTTCCTTTAAAGTTATTTAATCGGATAGCCGACTGGTTAGATCATTCAAGAGATACCAATAATATCATATAACTACATGTATAGCATTAACATACATGATGGTCTGGATGGAGGTTCACAGAATAGAGAATAATGGACAAAAAATATAAATAGAGAAAATGGACCAAAATTTCAAAGAATAGAAGATAAAGGACTAAAAAAATAAAGAATTATAAGAGAATAATGGGCAAAATATATAATTGAGAAAAATGGCCTAAAAAAATTAAAGAATGCAGAAATGAAGGAGTAAGACTCCCATTAAGACCCTCATGCATTTTTTTCTTCCTAAAATGTCAAGAAAATAGTCCCAACTTTTCTGTCAAAAGAACATCTGAAACCATCAGTATTTTTTCAAGATTTAAATCCTGGTCACTGGAACAGACAAAGATAACCTTGCACATAAAGAAGGAAAAAGAACAGAAAAAACAACTGAAAAAGCAAGCAACTCTAAGAATTATGTGAATAGAATATTTGAGAAAGTAAACATCAATAAGATTGCATGTGCAACCAAACAACACAAAAAGAAAAAGAAAAACTCAAAATACATGAGCAATTTTCGTAGTGAGTAGCTAGATTTTACGATATGATTTTTATTTTCAAACACAGGCATTCAAGATTAATCTCTAATCAAATGTCAACTGTGCTTGTATGATGATCTCAGGGTCTGGATGTGGTTTACAGAATAGAGAATAATAGGCCAAATCTCCAGAAAAAAAAGACAAAAAAAAAAACAAAAAAAAAATGGAGAAAAATAGGCCAAAAAAATAAAAGATAGAGAATAACGGGGTGTTGAAATATAAAGAACAGAGAAAAATGGCCTGAAAAATAAAGGATACAGAAATCAAGGACCCCTCATCCAGACCCCCGAGTATGTCCATATCCCATGTCCTTCACTATCAATTCTAGAAGATAATTTTGATATATCAATACTAATTTCCTATGATTATGGTCAGTTTTGTCCTTAATTATTCTGTCCCTGGCTGTAATGACCATCAGTTTTCACATGATCATGCAGACAGCTTGTCAATAACTATTAATTCTTTGTTGTTAAGATTGACAAACAATTCTTGGTGCCAAATTTATATTCAGCCAGGTATAGATTTTTCCCTGCAGTCTGATAATGGAATCCAAGACCTTAGATAATTGCACCAAGAAATGTGATAAATTTACTAGCAACTGAATTAATCCCTTGTTTTATAAAAAAAACAAAATAAAAATATAATTTACCAAGGGGACAATCAAACACCCGAAAACTAAAAGTGAAACATACAAGTACTGATGGCAGAAAAAAATGAGAAATACCAACAATTACAGTCTATGAGAAGAAAACTAATACAGATACCGAAGATACCAAAGGGACAATTTAAACTAAATCAAAGAGAGATCAACAACACTGGCAAAAAACAAAAACAACAAACAGTCCTTAAAACACTACAAGGAAAAATAAATGGGAGACAGAAGGTAACCAAGGAGACAATTTGAACTAAACCAAAGAGAGATCAACAAAACTTTGGAAAAACAAGGGAAACCATAGGCGGATCCAGGTGGGGGCCCACCCGGCCCCCCCTTTTGTGGGAAAAAGTTGGTTGATTATATAGGGAATCACTGAAGCATGACTGGAGCGGGCCCCTTCTTAGGGCAGTCAGTGGGCCCCCCCTTATGAAAATTTCTGGATACGCCACTGGAAACTGTGAGCTTACTGCTCACTGATGATACCCCTACCCAAATATTTCGGTAAACAGGAAGTTGTTGAGTAATGAATCTGAAATCACAAACCAAATTTCAGAAATCTTTGTTATGTAGATCCTGAGAAAATGTGACGAAAATTTCCAACTTGGATGTCATGTGTAAAATGATAAGTGTTCAGTAAACAGGAAGTTGTTGAGTGATGAATCTGAAAAAGCATCACATGGTATGGCTTACTCATATAAACCCTGAAACCGAATTTCAGAAATCCTTGTATTATACATAATGTAGTTCCTGAGAAAAATGTGACAAAAATTTTCAACTTGGATATTATGTGTAAAATGATATAAGTGTTCGGTTAACAGGAAGTTGTTGAGTGATGAATCTGAAAAAGCATCACATGGTATGGCTGACTCATATAAACCCTGAAACCAAATTTCAGAAATCCTTGTAATGTAGTTCCTGAGAAGAATGTGACAAAATTTTTCAACTTGGATGTCATGTGTAAAATGATGTAAGTGTTCGGTTAACAGGAAGTTGTTGAGTGATGAATCTGAAAAAGCATCACATGGTATAGCTGACTCATATAAACCCTGAAACCAAATTTCAGAAATCCTTGTAATGTAGTTCCTGAGAAAAATGTGACAAAAACTTTCAACTTGGATGTCATGTGTAAAATGATGTAAGTGTTTGGTAAACAGCAAGTTGTTGAGTGATGAATCTGAAAAAGCATCACACGGTATAGCTGACTCATATAAACCCTAAAACCAAATTTCAATAAACAGCTGCGCCATGAGCGCATGATACGCCCGTCGTCTTGTGTGTGAATTTTTATGCAATAAGCATACATAGTTTCTGACATACGGCGTGACATGCGAAAACCCCCTTTTTTTTTTTACAAAAAACTCAATATCTCTAAAATAAAATTTTGAATCAAAACCAAAAAGTATACAGATCTTTAGATTAATATAACTAAGAAGTGTGTAAAATTTTAAGCAATAATTATAAATCGTTTTTGAGATACAGTGCAACATGTGAAAAACCCCTCCCCCTATCGATCAATAACTCAAAAATAAAATTTTGAATCATCACCAAAAAGTATACAGATCTTAAGGTTAATATAACTAAGAAGTGTGTAAAGTTTTAAGCAATAATCATAAACTGTTTTTGAGATATGGCGCGACATATGAAAAACCCCTCCCCCTTTTTTAACAAAATACTCAATATCTCTAAAATAAAATTTTGAATCATCACCAAAAAGTATACAGATCTTGAGATTAATATAACTAAGAAGTGTGTAAAGTTTTAAGCAATAATCATAAATTGTTTTTGAGATACGGCGCGACATGTGAAAAAAAACACACATCTGTTTTAGTTACTAAGTCCCGTAACTAAAAAAGTTTTAATCTTATTTTCACCAAAAAGTATACAGATCGTTTGACCATCATAAGAAACAACTATGTTAAGTTTCATGAAATTTGGATAAGTCATTCTCAAGTTACGGTGCAACATGTTTACGCCGGACAGACAGACAGACGGACAGATGGACAGACACCGGACATTTGTATACCATAATACGTCCCGTCAAAAATTGACAGGAGTATAAAAATCCTTGTAATGTTGTTCCTGAGAAAAATGTGATGAAAACTTTCAACTTGGATGTCATGTGTAAAATGATGTAAGTGTTCGGTAAACAGGAAGTTGTTGAGTGATGAATCTGTAAACGCATCACACGGTATAGCTGACTTATATAAACCCTAAACCAAATTTCAGAAATCCTTATGCTGTAGTTCCTGAGAAAGACGCAACGAAAAATATTCATGGGACGGATGGATGGACGGACAGACAGAGGTAAAACAGTATACCCCCACTTTTTGAAAGCGGTTTAAAGCGGGTGTATAAAAATGAAAAGTTATAGTTTGACGAGCCAAAGTTGTATACAAAATTTTACCAAAATCTGTGACAGTAATTAGCCCATTTACTGTTACTTGACCTATTCAATTTATACATACAACTGGTAAACATACGATACTTCAATTAAACCGAAATTGATGCAAGCAGAGACTAATTAAAATGGAAATCACTGCATAAAAATAAGGAAATGTGGTCAAAGATTGCCTGGTGAGTGAGATAACTCTTCACAAGAGTCAAAATGGTGTGAATAATCACAGTAAGCAACCATCTATTAGAAAAACCTGTACCATATAGTGATAGTCAGAGCAATACAAGTTTCAGAGATGAAAAAAATGAGAAACAAAACAAACAGGACAACCAATGGTAAGCAAATTGTAAGTAACAATAAGTCACTGTACACTTCAACAATGAGCAAATCTCACACCATATAAAGTGATGGCGAGTTATAAAAGGTTCAAAGAAAAACAAAATGAGAAACAATTCAAACAGGCAAAACCAATGATTTGATTTATGACAAAAAAACAAATATGACAGACAGCAAGACAAGACAAGCACCCTCATAGCATGCTGGTCATGCACAATGAAATATAAGTATCATACTTATAAATTGATGCAGTTT